TTATATATCTTTCTGCTTTCTGATATCACTTCCTGGGATTAAAGGGGTGAGTCACCATGCCTGGCTGTTTCCAGTGTGGCTTTGAAATCACAGAGATCCGGATGGATCTCTGCCTCCCAAGTGATAGGATTAAAGGCGTGTGTGCCACCATTTTCTGGCCTCTATGTCTATCTAGTGGCTGTTCTGTCCTCTGACCCCAGATAAGTTTATTAGGATGCACAATATATTGGGGGACACAAAATATCACCACAGTCATTTACACAGGCCATGTGTTATGGAGTCTATAAAAAACATCTGTTTTATTTGTCTTTATAGCTCTGGGCATGGAACCGAATCCCCATGAATATTAGACAAGCACGCTACCCTTGACCTAACTCCACAGTTAAACTCTCTCTTCATCCCTTGATGCCCGTTACAGAGCTGATGCAGATACATTACGAGACGCTCTCAACGCCCTCACAGAAAACATGGCCAAGGAAGACCAAGACAGGCTCCGACATGACCTGCAGGACGTGGAGAGGTTTGTGGATAAGTTTCCTCAGGTGAAACTGGAGCTTGAGCAGCACATCAGGAAGCTGCGCGCCCTTGCAGACAAGATTGACAAGGTGCACAGGGACTGCACCATCTCCAAGGTGGTGGCCGGCTCCACCGGTGCTGTGTCCGGAGTCCTGACCCTCCTTGGCCTCGCTCTGGTACCTGTGACAGCTGGGGCCAGTCTGGGGCTCTTGGCAATAGGGATGGGCCTGGGAGCAGCAGCTGCTGTGACTAGTGTCTCCACTGGTATCGTGGACTACACTAATGAGTCGTCGGCCAGAACGAGAGCCAGCCACCTGGTATCAACCAGCATGGACAAAGTGAAGATGGTTGTGGAAGCTGTGGTTCATTCAGGGCCCCAAGCCTACCACTTGTCTAAGAATTGCTACCGAGTCCTGCGATGCCTTCAACAGAGCATCTACGCCATCAAGCTCGCCAAAGCCAACCCTGCCTTAGCAGCCAGTGCTAAGCGCCTCTTGACCATGGGGCGCATCCCTGCCCAAAGTGGAGAGCAGGCGAAGAAAGCCTTCAGGGGCACTGCTCTGGCAATGAGCAGAAGAGCCTGGGTCATGAATATAGCCACCACAGGTGTGTCCCTCACTGTGGATGTCATCAGCCTTGTGAAAGAATCCAAGAGACTGCATGAGGGGGCAAAAGCCGAGTCGGCTGAGGAGCTGAGGCAGCAGGCTCAGGAGCTGGAGGAGAAATTGGAGGTGCTCATCCAGATCCATGAGAGTTTGCAGTCAGGCTCAAATCAGTAACACGCTTCCTCCCCCAAAGTAGCAAGAAGTCTTGGAAGGTGTTCTGGACAGAGACAGAGGCATTTTGTTAGAGGAAATCAAGCCCCTCTAACATGGTGTTCAGGACTTAGGCATCTCCTCTTCTTCTTCTTCTTCTTCTTCTTCTTCTTCTTCTTCTTCTTCTTCTTCTTCTTCTTCTTCTTCTTCTTCTCCTCCTCCTCCTCCTCCTCCTCCTCCTCCTCCTCCTCCTCCTCTTCTTCTTCTTCTTCGGTTTATTTATTTATTATGTATACAGTATTCTGTCTGCATGTGTCCTTGCAGGCCAGAAGAGGGCACCAGATCTCATTACAGGTGGTTGTGAGCTACCATGTGGTTGCTGGGAATTGAACTCATGACCTCTGGAAGAGTAGACAGTGCTCTTAACTGCTGAGCCATCGCTCTAGTCCTAAGAAATAAGTAAAATATTTTTATTTATTTATTTATCTATTTATTTATTGATTTTTTCCCTGAGACAGGGTTTCTCTGTGTAGTTTTGGTGCCTTTCCTACATCTCACTCTGTAGACCAGGCTGGCCTTGAACTCACAGAGATCCGATTGGCTCTGCCTCCCAAGTGCGGGATTAAAGGTGTGTGCCACCACCGCCTGGCGCATCTTTTCTTTTCAAAAACTTTGATGTGTGTGGTGATATATTGTGTTCCTTAACAAACTTTGCCTGAAGAGCAGAGGACAGAACAAGCCACTAGATTAAACATAGAGGCCAGGCAGTGGTGACACACATCTTTAATCCTAGCACTCAGGAGGCAGAGATCCATCTGGATCTCTGTGAGTTCAAAGCCACTCTGGACTACATGAGATTGACTCAGTCTAGGAGAGAAACAGAGCCAGGCAGTGGTGACACACATCTTTAATCCCAGTACTGGGATGCACACACATGCCTTTATTCCCAGGAAGTGATGGTTTGGAGGAGAAAGATATATAAGGTGTGAGGAGACAGGAACTAAAGCCTTTTTGGCTGAGGAAGCTCATTTGGCTAGAGGCCTATCAGCTGAGCTCCTTCAGGCTGAGGAGTTGGTGAGGTAAAAGGTGGTGGCTGTGGCTTGCTCTCCTTCTCTGATCTTTCAGTTTTCACTCCAATATCTGGCTCTGGGTTTTTTACTATAAGACCTATTAGAATTCAAACAAAATCTGGCATCCAACTTATGGGGAACAAATTCACCAAAAAAACTGCTTGCCTGTGGTTTTGCAGCCCCCAGCTCAGGCCCAAGATACATGCTTGCAGAATCTCTACCCTACCTGGGCCAGACCTAAATTTTCTTTTTGTCCCCATAAGACTACCAGCATCCCCAATCAGCATGAAGTAGCCTAGAAAACTATACCCATATTCCTCCCAAAAAGGATTATGAATGTTTGTGTTTGTTTAGGGGTTGGTTAAAAATTGTTATTGATCATAGTCAATCTCTAAAAGAAGAAAGGGGAATATGATATAGAAATGTATTATACAGAAATGATAGGAAAAGGGTAGATTATTGAATCTACTCTGAGAAAAAGAGAGAGAGATAGAGATAGAAATGATAGGATAAATTGGTAGATTATTGAATCTACTCTAAAAAGAAAATACAGGAATATAGATATAAGACAAAAAGGTAGATTATTGAATCTACTTTTAAAAAACAACTATTAGTTTTAAATATTTTACATTGGATTGGATTTTTGTATATTATATACAAATGTATATTGATACAAACTTGAGATTGATTTTGTTAGAAAATACTGTACATGTATTTCTAATCTTGTTCAAGATATTGTACCTATACAGTTCATTTAATAATGTAATACAAATTGCTAGTCCTTGAAAGTTACCATTGCCAACTATTCAGGATATAAGAAATGCAAGTTAATAGTCATTACAATCAAACTTGTTGTTATATTAGGTATGTTCTCAAGGTCAAACAGGAATATATTTTAGATAGACAGATCATCTTCAAAAACTTCAGAGATCTACAAAACATGGCATTTAAGATGTTTTAATAACATAGATTGTTGTTTTTTTTAAATGACAATGAGACATGTCTGCTCCTGGCAGCACCATTCTACTTCATAGAAGATGATGGGCACTGAAGAAACACCTTATGGAGTTTACTTTCTTTGTGGCAAAAGTTAGCCTTTGGACTAGAAAATGCCCTTGCCTCAACTGCTGACAGTATGCTGTTCAAAATGAACAAGCAGGACAAAAAAGAAAGGACTACCACACCTTGCCAAGACAAGATAGGAAGGCCCTTTAGAATATCCTGCTTCAGAGATGAGTCTATCAGATATACTGGGCCTGTAGGCTCAAGATGGATACCCAATGTTGCAGAGGAACCTTGGGTGACTGTCCAGGCAGCCAGCTGTTTCTGTCATTTCTCACATTTTTTGGAAGTCATTTGTTTGCACTTCCTCATTTCTCAGTTAACATTATTTCCTTCTCAGGTCTCTGAGGGAGTTGAAGTTAACAAGTTTTCCTTGTTAACAAATTCAGAAAAGAAACTCATTAAAAAGGTGTAAAATGTATAAGTTTGAAAGACATCAAAAGATAGTTTTGGGTTGGTAAAACAAGTTAGGAAAGTGATTTAGGTACAATATTTTGGACTCACCAAAATAGGATAGATAATGGAGTATTTTCTCTGAATTTGTCAAATGTTAATAGACTAGACATTGTTAATGTAATTCTTGACTGGATACATTGTATATATTTATTGTACCTATTGTATATAGCTTTTATATATTAGTTACAACTCTCTTTTATTATTTTATACAAAAAAAGAGGAAATGTGATATATTGTGTACTCTAATAAACTTTGCCTGAAGATCAAAGAACAGAACAAGCAACTAGATTAAACAAAGAGGCCAGGCAGTGGTGACACACACCTTTAATCCTAGCACTCAGAAGGCAGAGATCTATTTAGATCTCTGTGAGTTCAAAGCCACTCTGGACTACACGAGATTGACTCAGTCTAGGAGAGAAAACAGAGCCAAGCAGTGGTGCACACACATGCCTTTAATTCCAGGAAGTGATGGTTGGGAAGAGAAAGGTATATAAGGTGTGAGGAGACAGGAACTAAAGGCTTTTTGGCTGAGGAAGTTCATTTGGCTAGAGGCTTATCAGCTGAGCTTTTTCAGGCTGAGGAGTTGGTGAGGTAAGACGTGGTGGCTGTGACTTGCTCTGCTTCTCTGATCTTTCAGTTTTCACCCCAATATCTAGCTCTGTTTTTTTAATTATTATAAGACCTATTAGAATTTGAGCAACAGATGTGTTTTTATTTATGTGTGTGTGTGTGTGTGTGTGTGTGTGTGTGTGTGTGTGTGTGTGTGTGTTTCCTGACAGGCCAGGAGAGAGCACCAGATCTCTGGAGCTGGAGTTATAGGAGGTTGTGAGCTGCCTAATATGGGTACTGGGAACTGAATTCTTGTCCTCTGCAGGACAGCCAGTACCCTTAACTGCTGAGCCGCCTTTCCTGCCAGGG